TCATTCACTGCTGCCTCAATCCCATCCTGTATGCTTTTGTGGGTGTGAAGTTCCGCCGTCAGCTCATGAGCATCCTCAGGTCTCTGGGCTGCAAAGTGGCAAGTGCAAAAATCCAGTCTTTTGTCAGCAACAGGAGAAGCTCCATGTGGTCCGAGTCTGCCGACACTTCCCACTCGCTTGCTATCTGAGAAAGACAAAACCAGGGAAATACATAAACATCAGAATGTACAGTGTGCTTTTGTATATTGTTGTGTTAGATAACATGCAGGCAGTGTTTTTGTTGTTGTTGTTGTTGTTATTATTATTTTCCATAGCTGAACATGAATTAATAATATTAATAATAATATTTCTTTTTTCTAATTGCCGGGCAGTATTGTAATAGAAATAAGTAATGAGAACATGAGAATTAATAGAGTAAAGAGATTAATACCTATTCAACAGCTTGTATTTTATACTTTTTTCTTTGTATCTTGATTTATGTTCTGTACAAAATGAAGATTATATATTTTTTAAGTATGATAAAGTCTCTTTCCAATATAACAATTCCCACAGGACCTGCAGGAATATTAATGGAATTTGGGTGATTATTCAGTGAAATGTAATTAATTGATGTTAAAACTATGCAGGAAACTTTGGAAATGTGTCAAAAACAGTTCATCAAGCAATTGGGACCTTCCTTTGATTAGTCTGGTCTCATCTGGAATCTGGCATAAAAATGAGTTTTCTTTTGACTTTGTGCTGAAAACTACAAAAACCTAAAATATGAATAGAACGGGTTGTTACAAATATTATTGACATACAGATAACACAGACTAAAAAAAAAAAAAAAACCCTGTTAAAGTCAAAGTCAAATTTATTCATATAGCATCTTTCATACAACCTCACCAGGTTTGGTTCTAGATCTGAGACCTAGGAGCCCCACAGACTTCAAGTAGATCAGCAATATATTTAGGTCCAAGACCCTCAATGCTTTATAAACCGTTAACAGTATTTTACAATCAATCCCTTTACACACCGAAACCAGTACAATGATTTTAAAATAAGTTGTAATATGATCAGTTTTTCCTGGTGTTGGTCAGAAATGTAGCAACAGCATTTTGGATGTACATTAAATTAAAACCAATAAAAACAACAATTACAATAATTTAGCTTACTAAAAATAAATGCATGAATAAGCATTTATTATCTTTTTTTGCCACAAGACTCTTGATTCTAATTCTAATATTTTAAGATGGAAGAGGATTGCATAATGGTGTTTATATGACTATTCAAATTCAAATCAGCATTCATAACTATGCTAAACAATTTTAAATCGTTCTGTTGTATTGAATTTTGATGACTTTCATTTTTG